CGTATATAAAATTTACAAAAGTTAATTTGTTTATACTCTCCATGTGTAAGATTCAATAAGGCTTACAACATGGGTTAGTAAATAGGTGCATGAGGGCAAAGATTTTTTTAACATTGTTATATCCTTGTTATCTATAAATTTTTTATTTAATGTTCCTTATTTTAAGAAAAAACATATGCATACATATGGTAACAAAAATGTCACTGTATTTTACAAAATACTAGTAAGACTGAGAAGAGTAAGAGGTTTTTACTTTGTAAGCCAGTTTTATTGTAGATAAGTATAGTATAATTATGACTATTGAACTTGTGTTATAACATCAAGGGAGAATAAAAGCAAATAATACAAAATTAGAAACTTGGCAATTTAGGAAATTTCAGAAGGATAAAATGACTTACAAAAATCAGGGAAATAAATTTATAAGAAAAAGAACAATGTAAGTACAAACTATATGAAGTAATGGAAAGTTGTACAAACTCAAAAATGAATGGGAATATTTACTTATCATGAAAAAGAATACCACTACTGTACATACAAAACTGTATGAATTAAAAGTTGTAAAAACTCTAATATGTAAAAATTAATGGGAATATTTACTCATCATGAAAAAGAATACCACTACTGTACATACAAAACTGTATGAATTAAAAGTTGTACAAACTCTAATATGTAAAAATGAATGCAAATATTTACTCATCATGAGAAGGAACACCACTACTGTATATACAAAACTGTATGAATCAATGAAAACACATACAAACTGTGATATATAAAATCTTATATAAATGTTTACACATGATAACACCAGAATAAAAGGATTGAGAATGGTAAGAACTTTCAGAAAACATAAAAAGTTGTATGTATAAAACTGTTATTGGATGGAAATTTATATATATATATATATATATTTCAAACCTTTTAGAAAACTGCAAAAGTCTACTTATGATGGCATACATAGAATTATAAAACTGCTCTTGACACAGGAGCATCATTACTATATATATACAAAAGTGTATAGATCAAAGAAAAGTTTTACAAAAATAGTTCAATAGAAAAAAAAAATGTAAAAGTAAGAAAACATGTAGCAGTTTCAGAAAATATTACTTTCAAATAAAAAGTAATCACTAATGGGGAGATGTTACTGTCTAAGATATTTGTTAGTTTGTAGAGAAACTGTAAAAGGAAAATAGCAGAAACCATCCAAACCTTTACCAAGTACATAAAAAATACTTCAGAAACTTTTAACTAATTTATTTTGACAAATTTTATGATGTTAGAATATGAAAAACAAATCAACTATGATAATTACAGCAGTTGTTTATGTACTAAGTAAAAGTTTAACTTTTTTGAAGAACAGCTCTCGTGTGATATTCTTCAAAGTATTTCATACATAGAAACTCATCACAGAATTTACATTTCATCTGTACCCTATTGATTTTAAAACAGAGTCTGCATCTCTTCCTTTGACTTCTCTCAACAAGTATTGGGTAATGCCTGCCAAGAGTGAGTCTCAGAGGTAAAGAGTCTTGCACAGTTTTTGATAGTGGTGTATGAGAAGTACCTGGTTTGCTTTGAAGTAAAGGTTGAACAAGAGCAGTGATCAGGACCATTCAGAAGGCCTTCTGGGGCAATTCTGGCTTGTTGATTTTCATTTTGTACAGTATGTAAGCATTCACAATTGACAAATCTAAAAGTTGAAAAAACAGTTTTTATACCATTTTATTGTTTTTCATCCAGTAGAATAGTAATTTGTGTGTTGATTATTCATGTCCCCTCCTTCATAAATTTGTTGTAGTCCACAGCTAACTGGGGTTTTGTAACTTCTGTATCCTTCCCTCATCTTTTCACAGTTGTCATACTACTAGAGTGGAAAAGGCAGAAATGTATCATTTGTCAGTCCATTTTACAGCTGTCAAAGTGCCACATTTAAACTATTGTGCTTTCCCTCTCTGTAGGTTTGTAGCAACCAGTTATTGTGAGAAATACAGTCTATCTTTCTTGCGTATACCACAAGTGTATGTTCCAACAGCCAATAATTTGTAAACTAAACGAGAAGTGTAAAAGTTGTCCACAAAAACTCTGTGGTGTAGTCTGTTGTAGTTGTTCATTGGTCCCATCACAACATTGTCTGCAAGACCCCTAGCTGCCATTTCTCCCTCTTTCCCTGTGTATATTTTAAACTTTAGACAATATCTGCTCAAGGCTTCTGTCAGGACCCACAGCTTAATACCACAATTGACAGATACTCAACATTTATTAGGAGAGTAGTGGAAAAAAAGGACTTCAGACGAAGGTCTATGATAGGTCTTACTTTGAAAAGTTTTATCATAATTAGGAGCAGTTTTAGGAAGAGCATTAGTATTGTTATGGAAATGTAAGAATCTATGAATAGCATAAAACCTGTCGCTAGATAAGATAGTAGTAAACCTTGGAGTATGGAAAAGAGGATAGGTAGACTGACCAGTAGTCAAAAATAGAAGGATAAGGCTTAAGACTCATAGCTATAGAAAGACCAAAGGAAGCTAAAATATTTTCATCAGTAACATCCACATTAGTCCAATTTACACTTTTTTTAACTGTAGATTTGTTGTGTTGTTTATCTTGAGCATATCTGTTTGTTTTGGCTATAATTAATTGTAAAACTTCTCTTGTGAAAAAAAAAATCAAAAAACATTTTTAGCAGAGGTAACCTGTTAGGAAATAGGTCCACCTCTGTAAGAAGTGGGCAGCAGAATTTGTTCACCTTTAGTGACCTCCACCAAGGTCCAGGTATTGGTGCAGGTAAGAAACAGTCCTACTTTTGATTCCAACTCTGACCTGACCTGTCTTTCTTTGTTGGTGACTCATCATATGATGTACCTGGTCTGGTTGGTTCAGGAGCATCCTCATATGAAGAAGGTCTTTCACCAGCTACCTCCTTATCTGTCCACAGGACAGAATCAAGAAGAGTTGGTTCAAGATATTTGGTTATTTACTTTTAAACATGGCTTCTGTCAGAGGCTTCAAAAGAGTAGAATCAAATTCTTGAACTTCAGATGCCTATAACAGGCCTTCTTGATTAGACAAAAATGAAACACTTAGGAGGAACTCTACTACCTCTTGAGAAAAGATGTTTTTCTTTCTTAGCTCTTTGTTTTTCAGATTCCATTTCTAGAAGAAAAAAAAAGACTGTTACATTCATTTTCAATTCCATATCATTTATTTATATTACATATATTGTGTATTATTACATTTGTTCCATTTTTTGTATCATTAAATATTTATATTATATGTATTCTATAACATGTATCATTTCTTTACATGTATATATATTGTCTTATGTGTATGACAGGTTTCAGTAGCAGTACATGTTATGCTTAGACACAGAAACAGCTACACTAGATTTTGATCAATAACTATATATCAGACTATTCAACAGAGGTTCCTTATATATTATAAATAATGTTTACTTGTAGGTAATTGTTGCTAAACTCTTATGTATTTATGACTGTAGCACAGGAAACAAGTTTAACAAGAACAGTAGTTTACTAAAAATGTGTGTGTTACAATATATTTTGCAATGTGTATCATAGGTTTCAGAAGCAGTAAATGTTATACTAAAATGCAGAAATGGCTACACTAGATTTTGATCAACAACTATATACATATATATATTTTAAAACTATTGAACAGAAATTTCATATCTATTATAAATAATGTTTACTCACTTGTAGCTAGTAGGAGGTACACACAGACGAACTGAAATAAGATGCAAAATTAGAAATGCTAGCTAACACAAAATGGACTGTTTTTATATTACTAGAGGCTGGTTGTTTATAGGTTGATGTGTAAACATTGACAAATAGAAAATAGAATATTTATAAGCATCTACACTAATTAATTTATACATTTATACTGCTACATTTTGCACATCCTGGAGGTTTGAAAGCTAACACCCATATACCATTAAAGTTTATGAGATTGGATTGGAGTTGTATCATAAACATTTGCACATATTCAAAGTGCTGTTCTATTAGTCTGAGCAATTCGGATTGCAAGCACAGTCATGTAAAAAAGCAAATGGATTCTATGTTATGTTCTTGAAGCAGGGGATAAGTAGTGTCGGAAATATATACTTGTTTGCTCTTGGAAGTACCTCACTATGGTCCATTGAAACAGTAATGGCACAAGCAGTAAATCATTGCCTTATGTTCAGCAAGTTTCAAAGTGTGTTGCTAAAAGTAAAATAAATAGGGGAAACAGAAGTGAAAAGGTTAGAAGTAGAAATTGTCAACATAAGTACTTTGTGATCAATACTAACAGAACTACACATTTTATTTTGCACTTGTACAACATTTCTCTTCATTACAGCTTGATTACTTGTCTACAGTCAGGAGAGTGAAGTATATGTTATGATGGAGCATATAACAGATATAAAGACTTACTGAAAGAAAAACGTTTGATATATATTTAGGAGGTTTCAGAGATTACACAAATGAACTTTTAAAGTTTTCACAGGAGGAAATGTATTTTGAATCATAAAATCAAAATCACTTTGCATCGGATAGTCAACATTCTGAGGGTCGTTGAGTCCTTCTATATTGAGATTACGTTTAATTTTGATATTGGTAATGCTTTCCATTTTGAACTGAATATTAACTAAACATTTCATGTAACAAAATAGCTTATCACTCACTTATGTTTAGAATATCATAGATTTTATGTATTGTAGTTGAAAATTATCTATACCTAGTTGACTGTATGGCACTTGTGTTAAAACATATCACTTAAAAATCACAGCTTTTGAGGCTGTACATCTTTCGTTGGTTTTTCTGAGGCTCATGAGATGAAGCATTTTGAAGGTATAATGTTAATAAGTTTTTTTTCTTCACATAAGTGTCGTTCATCTTGTTTAGAAACACATATGTTATACATTACACTTTTTTATATATAGTGTTTTAGATAACTCTGTAGTAGATAGTTACAAAGTTATTAATTACTCAAATACTTTTTTTTTGTAGGGCTTACCAGAAACTTCTGGCCTCTTAACTACAAAAAACCTACAGCAACTGATAGGTGTCATGGAATGTGAACTTCCAAACCGTCATTTATACGAATTCACAGGAAATATCAGACTGCATGGGACACAGTAAGTAGATAAAGTTATGTTTTTATATCATACAAGATTACATTTGAAATGACGCAAAATACTCAGAAAAACTGAATAAAACTAAATTTATTATTATTGTTTTAAATAGGCATTTGAGTATTTAAAATATTAGAAAAATTAACAAATGAAGAAGCAAAACCAGAAACAATAAAGAGTAAAACAAAATTTCACAAGTGAAACTAATCCAATTAAAAAAGCTATTGACTAACCAAATAAATTTTTTAATTCCAAAAATAATCTTTCAGTGTAGTACAAAATAAATGCTGTCAGTATTTTGAGTTTTTATCCTGGTTTCTCTTAAATGTTTGCACAGAAACTGACTCCACTGTATTTAGGCAGAACATTCATACATCAGTCACACTCTGGCTGAAAAGTCTGCTTTTTTGTACTCTCTTTTCTTTTTAAGTGACCTCATCTGTCATTATTCAAAAATCTGTTCATAATTTATATCCACTTTTCCTGTTAATATTTTTGTATGTTTCAATTACTACTTGCTATGGACTTGGTCAAATCGACCGAGTTTGTGACCTCAAATATACTTTTATAGTTTCCATGCTATAACTTTTAATATGTACCGTGTCTCTTCATAAAACTTTGCAGGCTTTTAGTAAGCATTAAGAGTTTTTTGCAGACAAAAAATTAGAAGTTTTAATGAAATACTTTTATTAGAATTTTCTCTATGAATATTTGGAGTCAAAGTGTTGACTACTGTGAATGCAAGATGATTTTCATATTATGATTAAAAATACTTTTCTTTGTCTGAAGATTCTCAGATTTTATTTACATAACCCCTTAAACCTCTTGAATAAATTTCAAACGTTTTTGTCACTAAAACTTTATATTTTATCTGTTATTTTTTGTAACCTAATCTATATGAGGTTGGTCAATTTGACTGACCTTGTATCCACCATAAAAAATATGAAATAAATCTAAATTACCCTTTTTTTCTTTCTAGAATGACTTCAAATTGTAACATGAAACTATATTTGTTTATCCTAAATAGCTTAAATCCTGTAACAGTATTCATCTATTTCTACTTAATGTTTTTTGTTTTATATCCCTTTGGACTGTGTCTAACTAATAATCCCACCACACAAGTTGTAATTCACTTGGCGAATGTGTTGTTCATGTTACCCTATCACATTATGTAAGTTACAGGCTGCTCACGTGTGTACCTGTGAAAATCTTTTATTATTATTATTATTTTTCATTATCCTACCTAATCTAACTTTATCTAACATTATAAGTTTATAGTTTTTAAATATTAGTTACTTTTGTAATAATAATAAGTAAAGAATACACATGGAAGAACAAGAAATATAATACCTACCTGGATCTTTTTTTTTTTTTGCTGTTGACTGTCAGTTGAACTTAACCCTACTTTTTTATACTAATGGCACTACTCACTAAATATATTTTAATTTAATTGTATAATGAACCTAAGAATAGAGAATAATAACGTGTAACAAGGGGGCAATGTCCAGTAACTATAATTTTTCTGGGTTATAAACTATGCGATAAGAGCCCTTAATAATTCATCTAAGCTCGATGATGTGTATCCCAAGGGAATAAAGTTTGAACTGGAGGTGAAATAGGCATTTCTTTGTACAGAAAACAATGTAATGTAATACATCATTTGATAGAATGACTCTTTGGCTTCCTATTGGTTATAAATAGTATAGTATTAAACATCAGAGAATTATTGGCAACTTGTGAAATAGAAGATGTGAAAGGTGGACATGGGAAAAGGGGTCTGATTTTTTATTTTATGGATTTGTAACCAAATAAGATTGAACGATATAATAATTGTGTTTTGCTTGAGTGATAACAATATGATAATGAGTAAATAGTCTTAAATTTCTTACTTCTCGGAAGGGTGCTAAATAAATTAGAGAAGAGAGGATACCAAGAGAGTAGATGTCACAACTTTCTTACTAGGGTCATATTGAGGATCTTTTTAAAATATTTCTTTGTAAAATTAAGAACCTAAACTTATATCAAATTTTAATTTATTAACTATGTTTTTATAAAGTTTATTCATATATCATGATAATAAAGTAGTATAATCAATTTTTGAACCTAACTCATTGAAAGTTCATGACATTTATAGAAAAGAATGTCTGTATGGATAGAGTTAAAACACTCCTTAACCCGCTCTTTTTCAACCTTAATAACTTAAGTGTTTTCCTTCTGACATCATATTCCTTGTTCCTTATACCTCCATTAGTTGGGTAACTCTTTCTTAAGGAATGCAAAAATATAAATTAAGTGTTGTGAAAATATACTACTGTGTTTCAAGAAATTTTCATAAAGTGAGGATTTTATAATAGAGGATAAATAATAGTTATTGGTGAAAAAATAGTTTCAATATTAAAAGATATTGAAACTAAATAAAGAGCTGTAGACTTGGTACTGTCACTAATAACTGAAAAAATAATATTCTTACTATTTTCAAGGTTCATACTTCAATAGAATTCTGAGTAAGGAAATATTTAATTAACTTCTATTCATGTCGATACCACCAATTGGGAATTATAATGAAAAAAAATTATGAAAAATTATTGACTTAATGATATGAAAGCTAAGCTATGCAGTATGTCCATCCCTAAGATACCGATGCCAGAAATTAAGTTGGCTATGACTACCTTTGGTCTGTGAGCAATGCCTTCTAGACACAGCCAGATACTGACATTTCCATTCATGTTCAGTTTATCTTCAACTGCCAGAACAAAGTGTGTTGACTGACCCTAGGGTGGTTTTATACAAAGTGCCTGGTGTTGTGGATGGTCTTTCAGTATTCTGGATGTACTCATTTCAACCATGAACTCTGTCTCTCACTCTTTGCACTCTTCTAGGTACATACCACGATGCACCAAGCCCTGCGAGAGCCAGGCCCAACTTGGGCCTTAGTTTCTCAGAGTTGTAGCAGCAATGCTTGCCACCTGTTGTTGCTTGCTTGCATCTGCTGAGACATTTCTTGAAACAGACAGTCTTTTCCATATTGTTGCTCTGCAAGATAGGTCAATTTAGTAACCAAATGATCAACAAGCAAAATAAGTGCTTTGGTCCTATTTTCCAGGATGATGTTTGGCTGAAACATGTCAACCATTGGAGGACTTGAATAGCCTTATGCATTCAGTGGATACCAGTGCTGTTACTTGAATGGGCTTGAGGTTGCCATGATATGAATGTCAGAGTAGAATGGTTTGTTCAAGGTATAGCAACTGTAGGCTTTTTCCTTTACTGTGATTGACCCAATATTACCACCTTATACTGCCCTACCTTAAAAAATGTCTCAGTAATTTTTCAACTAGGATATATGTATGATTAGCCAAAGCCATTGCAGGGTAAGCATTACTGGAAAATGATGCAAATCATTCATGTAGGCAGTGAAGATTTCTGTGGTACTCTCTTCCAAGTCTCGAACTCAGTCTGATGGGTTGCTTGATTTTACCCTGGGTAAAATTTTGTTCATGTCTGTGGAAATCTGTCAGCCAAATTACATATTCACCTGTCTAAAATAAATACTGTACAAGATATACTGTCTCATAATCCCAAAGTTGAATCTTATTTAAGTGGTTGGTGAAGTCTATGGCCAGACCATCTAGACTGAAGATCATACATTGTATGACCATTCCAGACAATTACCTGGCTAAAGTGTTTTAAAAAATGTTCCAAATCTGCATTTGCTGCACTCTTGAATGACAGGGGAGTGACCTGTTTAGCCTCATTCACAGGGAATCATGTTAGTGACTAAAACTTCTCCCTCACCTGTCTTCAACGTCATATGCATATCATAGTAAGTACTCTTAGGGACTTCTACTTTTATGTGAGTATTCAGTCTCTAGGCCAGGATGGCATAACAACAGGTTGCCATCAGCAGAATGCTCATCAGCTCTGAGAAAACCCAGGCTCTTTCTTCATCAATAGTTGCCTTAGCATTATACCTCCTGTCTATTAGTGACTCGCCACTGCTTCATGGTTCACCTATTTCACCACTTAGTGCCCACTGTGAGATAGCTGCTGTTGGTATATGTCATTCACTAATTGCAATTCCAGTCTCTCTCTGGTATTTTCAGTTGGCTTTGACCATAGCTGAGGTTCTGTTACTCTAGGAGGTGAAGGTCTTGGAGTCCTCATTCAGTCTCAGACTTGCCAAATGCTGCACTGCCTCAATGATCTTCAGTTGTGTGTGCTTCCCTTAAGGGGAGAGTATGAACAGCCATTCTAAGTACACCAAATATTGGCTGCTCTTCTTTTTGAGTCATCGGCTGCAATGAGATAGAAGTTGTGTACCTTCACAGTATTGCAAATCTCCAATGTCTAGGAGAAGTTTTATCCTGGATTCAACAACCTTCTCTTACAACTTTCTTCTTTAAGCAACCAACACTTTCTCTTGGTTGTAAGTTTTTTGAGTTGTAGAAAATGCTATCTCCTATAATACAAAACCTTTTCAGCTTAATAAGCGCAAGGTAAAGAGCAATACATACATCAGTAAAGAGCAGAAAATTCCACGATTAGATATCCTGTGGTCATGGTACCAAAACTTTATTCTTTCCATCTATTCTTCCCATACTAGTAGAATAAAAGAATATTGAACAAGATATTTGTCAGAGTAATTCTGAGTTTTCTGAATACTTGAGTTTATTAGGATCAAAGAGACACTGGGCACCATGTAAAATAAAAAAAGCACAGTATTAGTATAACAGAAAACACAAACACAATGTGTGTGCTTGCTTTTGATCAAAGACTGTTTCAATAACAATACTAATGCTCTTCCTAAAACTGCTCCTAATTATGATAAACTTTTCAAAGTAAGACCTATCATAGACCTTCGTCTGAAGTCCTTTGTTTCCACTACTCTCCTAATAAATGTTGAGTACATATAAAACCTGTCAATTGTGGTATTAAGCTGTGGGTCCTGACAGAAGCCTTGAGCAGATATTGTCTAAAGTTTAAAATCTACACAGGGAAAGAGGTTTGGACCCTGTATAGGACTGGAGTAGGGAAAATAACAGATACAATATAGTTTTGCTGAAAAATTATTGAAATTTATTTAGAAGGCTTAAGAGATTATGCAAATGAAACTTGAAAATTTTCAGATGAAGAAAATTATTTTTAATTTTAACTTGAAAATCACTTTGCACTCAGAGCAGTCAACACTTTGACTCCATATATTCATAGAGAAATTTTTAGTAAATGTACTTCATTAAAAATTATGTTTTTTTGTCTTCAAAAGACTTTTAATTTTTTACACTGAGCTAGTGAAATTGCATGATAATATGGAAACTTTAAAGGTCAATTTGAGGTCACGAACTTAGGTGAATTGACTGAACTTGTAGCGAGAGAGTTAATCATCAAAGTTGTTAACAAGTTGTGCACTTAGCATTGCTATATTCTGTCAGTTAAATGTTGTGGTTTATGCAGGGCTGTTATATGGAGTCTTGCCATAATATTTTGCATGTAATATCCTTTATGAGCCAAAACTTCCACACATTTGTCTTGTTGCATTTAAGTCTTGAGTGCCGTGACTGGATTTTTACTACTACTACTACTGCTGGAAATCTATCTGCAGTTGTCAGCAGTGAGGGTGCACTAAATTTTGCATAGATCACTGACACCATTCACTGAGATGTATCCTGACATATGTACTAATCATCAATCATTTTTCACTGTGGAGGCTCTTCATTAATTAACATACTACTCTGTTGTTCATTGTAAAAACAAAAAACAACAGTTCAAACTTGGATTCATCTGTGAAGAGTATTTGGCTCCAGCTTTGTCCATTTTATTATGGTTTATTGTTCTTTTTTAGTAATGGCTTTTGAAAATTTGCATGTTCAGTGTAACCTTTTCATGATAATATATATCTCATTGCGCCAAGTTAACATTCACATCTGTATTTACAGTAAGGTTGCTGCAAGTTTGATACTTGAATGCTTCTCTATCCATAAAGAGCATACCCTGAGATGCTTAATATCTATTTTATAGACTTTAGTTTTCTACCTTGACCTTTTCTGTTATTAACAGTGGCAGTTTTGCTTATCCTCATCAGAGTTTTCCAAACAGTTCATACTAAAATATGAAGTCTTGCCCCAATTTTTTGCATGGAGTTATATCAATCCTGGAAGCAATGACTGGTACCCACTACTACTTCTGGGTATAGTATGACTGCCTGTACCTTTATAGGCTTTATACTGGTGTAGCACTTTCTGATTTTTGGATGGTAATTAATCACAGTGTAAACTATCAACATATGACTACTAAGTGCATTTCATTTTCACGTGATAAAGGAGTGGCATTCCCATAGTGTTTGCTTCTTTTACCATTCTTTTTCACCATCCATAATTATTTCAAATATTGAATTATTTTATTTTCAGAACACTCCCTTTAGGACCAGATCAAATTCTTTTGCGTGGTGCCAAACTGATGAATACCAATTGGGTTTTTGGTAAGTTAGTAAATGTATTTCCCAAACAAAGTATGATGTGTTAGGTGGTCTTCTGAAAAATGTTAAAAATATTCAGATATGTAACAGTGAATTAAAGTAAATGGGTAAAAGTTGTATTGGATAAAATGTTCAAAGTGTAAAGTATTTCTTATTTTATTGCTGTTGGGCTGTCAGGACTAGTATTTTCTATAAATTTTGTGTAAGTTATAAAACATAGTATTTCTTCAGATTATCTATAAAATTAGATGAAAAACTGTATATTGAATAATAATTTTGTGTGAATTTACAATTACAACATTAATTCATAAAATAAGGTGTAAATATTCCTTTTAGTCTTTAAAGTGATAAAGATAGTGCTGTTTTAAGCTTTTATTATTTCCTGAGTTGTGAGCATAATATTACCATTGTGACTACTTTTTCATTGATATGGTGACCAATTGCTAATCTTGTTGTTATTTCAGTTTGAATAAAAAGAAAGAGAAAGGTATTAATCATGAAGTGAAAAATTCAATTTTTTGGAGGCATATACAGTTTTTGTTGATGAATCTATGATGTATTAATTAAGAGAAGGTTACTTCTTTTAAACTTGTTGCACCATTTTTGTTTGTGCAAAATCAAATTGCACACTTTAGTTTGTTTGTAAACAAACCACATCTTTTAAAGTACAAAATCCTCACATATTTAATAATTGGTGAAAAGTACAACTATATTAATTCTGATAAAGTTAAATGCAAGTCTTGATTAAGTTAAAAGCACATGGTACATTATGGCACAGATGAAGCAACTTGAGTTTTTAGTTTATTTTTAACTGGTGTTTTATGACTTATCAAATGAATATCAGTAACCTTCAAATGTCCAAATTCTATGTAAGATACATAGAAATTTCCAGTAGCAATTAGTTGGATTAGTTATGATATTGATGATATTTTTATTTAACATTTTTGTGACTCATATGTTATTATGGACCTTGTACTAACAAATTCAAGTACCCACAAATAATTAATTTGAGGTATAAATATTTCTGAAAAATATGTTTCAAAAACATGCAGAGCCTGTATGGATCTCATTGCTAGTTCTAGAATTAACTAAACAAACAAACATTGCATTTATCAGACTAACTTTTTGTCAGCAATTTTTTGTAAAACTAGGTCATAACCACATGTATATGACTCTTAGATAAATGGGAGTTACTACACAAACATCAGTATCTGATTATTTGTTTCAACATCACTTACAATCCAAAAACATTAACATGGTGAGTTAATACTGATTAAAAGCACAAAGCTGTATTTGTAATATTTGAATTTAGATGATTATTTGCTAGAGGGAGCATGCCATGACATCATGATAATGCAAGATCTAGAAATTTCATGGAAGTTGAAGATTTGTTAATATTTAGAAGCTTCTTATATTAGATGTAGTATAATATTAATAACAGAGAGTTAGTGAATTAATGAGTAATTTGTGAGTTATTCAATTCTGCAATTCAGTTCATTGTGAGTTAGACAGTGATTTATTTAGTCAGTATGTTTGTTATTGAATGATTAGAGAGAGGAGATTGTACAAGTAAGTTTATAAGTAAGTTAGGTATATATTAGTTTCAGAGTTCCTGTTGAAATGTTGTGGGTGAAGTTAGGCCTACTGGTGAACATAGCTTGTAACATATGTTATTGAATAAATAGATTCATCATTATTATTATTATGTGGACTGGACTTTACATGATTTTTACCAAATAAAAAACTAACTCACCCACAACAATATTTTACTGTGTACTGAAATTAATTGTTAGTCTAATTAGTTTAATATTTGCCTATGGTAATGATGAACAGAATTCATTTCCTTCTCTGTTTATGTATATATAAATGTACACAATTTATTAAAATTCAGTCATAAACGTATGCTTACATGCATGCATTCAAGTATGTGAACATTGAAGATTTATAATGATGAGGGTTATGTCCAGTATTACTTAACACCTTTTGTGTGTACATAAAAATGTCACAAAATTTAATAATGCAGTAAGACAGTTCACTGATTGACTTTTATAGGAATTAATTCAGAAAGAGTTATATTAGTTATTCATGGAAAACCTTTTTTATGTTTACAGAGTGCTTTTTTATATTTATATAAAATATAAATTATTATATTATCTCAGTTTTTATTTCTCTAAAACATTAATTAAATATTTCAGTTTGTTGTCACTTGATGATCTCATGATTTAATATATCTGAAGTTTAGAGCTGGTATACAAGAAACAAGTATGTGTAATTTAGACGTGTTCTTGTACACATTCAAAGTACAAATATATATAGCTTGCTTACGAGTAAATTGTGTCAAATTCCAAGAACAGAAGAAAATGTTGTAAAATTTCTTCAGTTCAAGATAAGCCATGTCCACTTCCAAAGTAGAAGCTGTGTGGCTAAGTGACAGTTGTAACTTGAATGCCATGCTTATAACCAATACTAAGAGCAGATTTTCCATTAGAATGTCACCAAATTAACAGTAAATCTAGAAGTACATATATCCATTTACAAATGAGGTGAAACAAAGCTTAGTCCATTTTTGATAGACAGTTAAATTGCATTTCAGTTTTATTTTTATATTTTAGTTGATGTGTTGACATAAATAATCAAAAATATAAAACAAGAAAGGAAAATAAAACTTAAAAAATATGCTGTAAGTGAAAAGGTAAAGATGTGAAATTACACATATGACCCAAAGAAGATATTTTAAGATTATTCAGTGAAGAGGTAAAAGGTATGTATATATTTCCATTTCTTAAATTTTAACATTTAATTGCACTGTATGTTGATGATAATAGCTAGAGTTAGTGATGTTGTAGAGAAAATAGTAAATCAGATATAAACATTTACCTGAAGAAAACTTTTGATATTTCTTTAGGAAATTCTAGAGTTTATAAATATGAAATGTTAAAAATTGTAAGACAAAAATTAGCATTTTTATACTTAACGTGAAAATCACCTTGCAGGTAAACTATTAAAAGACCAATTTCAAATAACTACATTAAATAATAAATTTTTAGTAGAAATACTAGAAAAAATCAAAATGAAATATTTTTCTCAAACTACATACTTTTTCTTGTCAAATTGTAAACAAATTTATCCACTGGTTGTTGTGATTGGAAAGAAATTTAACAAGAGTTACATCTGAAGTACGTTGTTATTATTGGGTTAATAAATAATGTTGTTAAGAAAAACCATTATAAAGAAAGACTTAGATATAAGTACAAAAATTGCAAATATAAATGTAAACACAGCATTTTAAAAAAAATAATGATAATTATCAAGTAAAAAAAAATGAGAATCTGAAATGTATTGAATTAATGACAACAAGGAGGAGTTGATGTTATTATTTAGTGTTGGATGATCATTGAAAATTGAGAGGTTTTCTTTAATAAAGAGTTTGTAATATGTGGTTCCGGAATCAAGAATTTTAAAGTTTTCTAGAAGAATGGGGTGGTTGTTATTCTCACTGTGCAATTAGATACAAGGTTCAGGTGGATTAGTTAACTTATATCTGCCTTAAGCTGATATTCCCATGTGTGTGTGTGATGTATTTGTAGGTGATGTGTAGTTTTACCAGTATAGGTAGCTTTACAGTTACCACAAGTGTATTTATATATGACCCACGAACACATAGGAATGGGTAGAGTGTCTTTGGTTTTAAACATATTTTTACTTCTAACTGTTGACGTAATTACTAAATGTAGCTTAATTTGTGAGTAATATGTTTGGATTTGATGTTTGAGTTTAAAACTTTGTTTGCCGATGAAAGGATGTTAAAACTAGTGAATATTTTGAGACAATGTGTGGCATTTTGGTAGGTTCTATTTTATTTCTAAAAATTTTAATGTGATCAAGTGTAAGAAATTAAGGGGATTACGATTACTTTGTAATATGTTATGAATTTTTGAAATTTCTGAGTGAAGACAGAAGTAGTCAGGACAGATATTATATGCTTTGTTTAGAAGATTTAGAACAAGGTTATGTTTGAAGGAGTCTGGTATGAAAGTGTCGAAATGAATGTATAAGCCAGTAAATGTTTTCTTAAAGTAAACAGATGTGGCAAAGAGATTATTTGTTTTGTTTACTTGGAAGTCTAAAAAACCTAAGTTATTGTTTTCATCTCACATGTAAAGTTTGTACATGAATATTGTGTGTTTAGGTATTCTAAAAACTTCTTGACATGATCAGTCTTATGAAAGAGTAGAATAGTATCATCAGTGTATCTTCTATATAATACAGGTTTGTAATAAAGGGGGCAATTATCCAGCCAATGATGTTTGAAATAACAGAGAAAAATATTTGCAAGGGTTGGACCTAGAGGTGATCCCATCACAACTTGGTCTATCTGGTCATAAAATGACCATTAAAAACAAAGTAATTATCCTTGAGAGCCAATTTAAGAAAATGCTCGATTTTTGTTGGTTAGAGTGCAGAGCATTTTTGGTTGGGAATACCTGTTTACTAATTATTTTGTTTACTCAAGTGGTATGTTAGTAAATAAGTGTTGAATATCAAAGCTGGCCATAACAAATTGATTTGTATTAGGAAATTTAGATATCTTTTCAGCAAAGAAAAAAAGAATCTTTAACAGTAAACTCTTTCAACCCAAGATCTGTCCCTGAGACTGACCTTGTAACCATTTTGTGCTTTTTATAGTTTTCATGCTATAACATTTAAATTAGTAAGTGAATGTTAGCAAAATGTGGCAGTTTATCAGTAAACATTACAATGTTTTCATATGCAAAATATCAAATTTTTTTTATTAAGTCTTAAGGTTTGTAAAGCAGTGTTTCTCTCATGCCTTTTTTTTCTTTTCACATCTTGCCTATTTATCATGCAAAGTAATTTTCAT